GGGTGGGTGGTTAAGAGGGAGGGAAGTGGGAAGAAGGAAAAGATGAGAGACAGAGAGGGTGAGACTGACAGACAGAGAGAGATGGGGAGGGGGGGGGGGGGTAGTACAGAGAGCTGTAGCTATCTGCTGAAATATTCATGTTGGTGCCAGCAGCTTTTCCATTCCCCGCTCAGCAGGGGGCTGCTGTTTGATACATCCATCGCTCCCCCCCCCCCCCCCCCTCGGTCTCTCTTAACTAGTGAGGCTGGTGGAGGGTAAACGCTCTTCGGGAGACAGAAGGTCTCTCTCTGTGCCAACCTGGACAGCACATCCCCACCCACAGTCAGGGAACAACTTCTGTCATTAAAAACAAGGTTTCCACAAGTTTCAGATGATTACTGAAGATGGATGTAATCATATCTAAATCCTCTTTTAGGGATTTTCTTCTGCAGAAACTGTGAAACTCCACGTTACAGAAACGGGACCCACGTATAAAACTATGGGTCGGAATGAAACAACATTCCCACACAGAGCTCTTGTTCCAAAACCAACATTTAGCGGGATCTTTTCAAATGTTCCAGATGGTTCCTGTGCAGTTCTAGAAGAAGCTGAAGGACTCAGTCCAAGTTACTCAGGCCTGGGTCACGTGAGAGGGTTTCAGAGACTTTCAAACCACAAGAGACGTCACGTGTGGCAACAGACAATCAGTGTGGTGTGTGGCAACGAGGCGAAAACCACTACACCAGTTTCACACAAGAACATTCCCAGTTTAGACCGGAAACCTCAGACAAACCTCTCAGGATCAAGTGTGAATTTGGAGTAAACAAACATGGCGGAGGGGTGTGCCACCTCCCGGTCTGATTCAACAGAAAAGACAAGCCAACGTGTTGAATATCCCTGATTCATGATGGGAGTGGTCCCGACATGCCTCCAGAGGACCAGTAATCTGGAGTGTTCTTAAGCTGGTCAAAGGGGGAGGAACAGGTGAATTATCTTGATGCGTGAACCAGATCTCACAAGAGGACAGAAATGATTTGTTTATTGTGTCACATTTTAAAATATTCTTATTTTCATTCACTATTTATATTAAAGGTAGGACATTTTATTCTCTTTCCCTGGTTGGAAAGATCATTTTTTTGTTTTTCAGCTGAATGGGTGCCAAGCCCATGTGCACCAAGTGTAGTAGTGCTCCTTTTCAGGGATCCAAACAGCCAGATGTGGGGCTACTAAAAGTGTTTGTATTAAAACACTGACCTTGGGCTCTAAACATCTAAAACTGGTGTGAAAGTTAGAAACTGAGTGACTGGGAAGTTTGTTAGCTGCATTTAGCATCAGCGGCTAAAGAACCAGCAAAAAGACCAAAAAAAAAAAAAGATGCTGGCTCTCCACATTAGCTCATGAACTATTCACCCTCTGTCCTTCAGGCAACAGGCTGAGAAACAGAATCTCCCCCCAAGACCTCTGACCCTTGATCCGTCCTAGTTACCAGGCTGATTCATTTGAGTCTCATGTTTCTGATGAGAACATTTTAGCTTTTCAGTTAGCTTAGCGAGCTATGAATGTGCGTTCATTTTCCTTTTTAATGGAGGGCGTTTCCCATTATTTACAGGCATAAATAGATGTTGTTGGATTTTGTGCAGCAATAGGATGCATGTTGAATTTGCACCAAACTAATGATGACTAAAAATGAGTTCACAAGATTATTTACTGGATTATCAAAAATAGCCAAGTTTGTGTTTTAGTTTTGTTCAAAACAATAGATCAAAAGTCTTATGCTTGACTTTTAAACACAATCAAAGAAAACGTTTGTTATTTCACTTAAAATCTATTTAAGGTATTATCAGAATATAAAATAGTCGAAACATAAAAAGCTGCTTTTTACTCAAATATCACAGGACATAAAACTAAAATGTGTTTTAGGCATCATTCACTCTGGTTTATTCTCAGAGGTAATCAACTTTGGGTCAAAAAGGCGACACCAGTCACTTCTTCCTCTCTGGGAATTTCTAATTAGGACCATGAATTTATTTATTTTTGTGCAGTTCTCCCTCCTCAAATTGCTGCTGGCAAGTTTTAGTATCACATGATAATTATTTATTGGAGAATTACTGTCAGAACATGTCAAATAAACAAGCACGGGCAGAAAACCAGTAGAGAAGAACCCTGGTGTCGACCGACGCAGTCTTCTAGTTTTTTTTAGAAATGTGAGGCGGTTGTAGAGCCAGCAGCGCCGGCCTTGCCACAGATCCATGACAACAAAAAACAGCAGGTTTAGTTTAAGAGAGGGAGGCTTCAGCAAACACGGCATCATTTCATTTAGATCTGATGGTTAAACAGGGAGGGGCTGCCTCTGTGGTTACTGTGTGTGTGTGTGTGTGTGTTTGAGCCTGTGTTAAAAATATCTTTGCCACAGCGGGAAGATGCAGTGGCCAATTACAGTGCAGCATCTTGGCTAGTGCATGTATATTTGTGTGTGTATACGTGCATGCATGGGTGTGTGTGTGCATGCGTGTGCATTTGTGTGTGTGATTGCGTGCATGTGGGTGTGTGTAAATGTGTGTGTGATTGCGTGCATGTGTGTGTGTGTGTGTGTGGAGGTTCAGTTGGAGTTCAGTCACATCTGAGCTTGTAGAACCTCGGTGAATGCTGCAGTGTGTGTTTAGCGACAATGGGGCTTTTTGTCAGAGCAGCAGAACCTGAACACACCCCTCGAGGACGACGTCAGGGCTGAGGACAATTAGAGGGAGGAAGGTGGGTACATATGGAAAAGGAAATGGAGACAATGTAAAGAAAGGGAATCAGGGAGAAGGAAAGTAAATAAAGCCCCCGTTGTTTCCAGCAGAGATGATCTCTCCACACCCTTTTAGAAGCTGAAGCCCGGCCTCAGCAGCACGACTCTGTGGGACGTTGTTACGTAATTCCCTTTAGTGTAGATGTTCATGTATTCATCAGCCCTTGAATAAATATGGTGCACCTTCTGCACTGTTACTGCTCACCATTTAACTTAGTTTTTTTTCTCTTATTAAACTTGTTTTGCACAAATACAAAATAAAAAATGCTTTCCGATCCTGATCCTTCCTGCATTTGTTCTTATAAATAACAGAGTCTCGTGTCCCACGGCTCCTGCAAAGGAAGTTAAACTTGTTGTTGTTTGGTTACAGAATGTCACAGATAAGTTCAGAGAAAGCTGCTGTGATGCTTCGGAGGATGCTGCACGTGCCCAGCAGGGATGAGTTAGTCCATCATCATGAACCATAATGCAAGGTTCAAAACATTAATGTCTGCAGCAGAAAGCAGCTCAGCGTGAGTGGTGAGGTTGCTTTTGTTTACACTTTGGTAGAAATCTCTGGTTTGCCCCTGAAATCTTGTCTTAACCCCTTCAGTCTTCCTCACCAAGAAAAAAAAAGTGTCTTTTTGAATTGGGGCAACAAGAGCTATAGTTTAATGTAAACAAATAATATTAAGACATGTTTGAAGAAAAGGCCTAATGTTGCATTACCTTAATATTACAATTATTATTCCATTAATATTATTTGTTTACATTAAACTAAAGCTCTTGTTGCCCCAATTCAAAAAGAGACTTTTACAGTTCATTTACAGCTTGAATGAGATTAAAGGACTTGAGAAGAGCTCTAATGGTGACCAGACGGGTAAAGGGTTACAGCTGCTACAAGAGAGCCTCCATCCATCAGAGGCCACAACACATGCAGTCATACACAATAATTAAAATTATAATGGCCACAGCCACATTTAGCTTTTAGTTATCAAAGTTTCTCTCTAAGTGGAGGCAGGCCTGAGGCACAAACACCTCTGAGCGGGGAGTAAGCATTCAGGAAACAAATCGGGCTGGCTCTGTCTGCGCCATGACTAAAGCAACAAAAGAATAAATGAGTGAAAACAGCAGTTTGCACTCCCACCATGCAGGCAATTAACCAGCTCAGAGAGTGTTGTTGTCTTTTGTCCCTGCAGAAAACAGGTGAACAAGCGGTCCATGTCCATCTACTGCCCTCTTGTGGTGAACAGCTGTCAGTGTTGTAACGACTGCATCGTGGCCTCCTTCCACTTCAGAGAAATGGTATAATTTATGCATCAGATCTCTAATAATGGTAAATGGCCTGTATTTGATGTAGCGCCTTCTAGAGTCCTGGAACCCCCCAAGGCGCTTTACAACACAATCAGTCATTCACCCATTCACACACACATTCACACACTGGTGGGGATGAGCTACGATGTAGCCACAGCTGCCCTGGGGCGCACTGACAGAGGCGAGGCTGCCGAGCACTGGCGCCACCGGTCCCTCCGACCACCACCAGCAGGCAATGTGGGTTAAGTGTCTTGCCCAAGGACACAACGACAGCGACAGACTGAGCGGGTCTCGAACCTGCGACCTTCCGATTGCGAGGCGAGCACTTATTCCTCTAGCAGTGAAATCATCACTTCCTGTTTACTCAGGAAGCACTCGTAACTCAGTGAGCTCTGTGTCTTTTAGATGCAACAGTTTTAGACTTAAACAGTGAACCAAAATCACCATCTTTTCACCTCCCCTTGTTTTCAAGCAAGAAGATCATTTTAAGTTTAAATGATCAGCTAATAAAAGTTTCTAACAGGCTCAACTGTTTTACAGTCAGATCTGAAAAGTATCTAAACAGATGAATTCCTCTGTTTTTCCATTATTTTTGACACGTTTTACCTCTGTGAGAAATGTGGGATGAAAGCATTCATGAGAGAGGAATAGGTACATTAATCCTACAGGTTCCACTTTAGATGTTATAAATCTTCATGTCTGTCTTCAGCCATTGTTTTATATTTGGGTCAGATGCTTGTTTATGCTGTTGCTCCTTAGATTATGCATCCTCGCTGGATTCCGGTGCAGGGACATGACTTCCTGTGCTGCAGAACAGCCCCTGTGGACACCACACACACACACACACACACACACACACACACACACACACACACACACACACACACACACACACACACACACACACACACACACACACACACACACACACAGGCTCCTCTCACTGTCCCTGCATCATGGATGGCCCAGCTGTGGTGTCGACCCACAGGGGACCTTCACTGCCATTCTACAACACCTCCACCTCCACCTCCACCCTGGCCTTCGACCAGCACTTCTCCTCGACGGCCAGAGGAAGACTCCTATGAAAATAGGATAAACACCAAGTTAATGGAGTTTTCCTCCTCTCTCTCCCTCATTGTCTCTCTTCCTTCCCAAATCGGCTAAAGGGAAAACGTGCGGACAGCCTTTGACTGGACGCCGTCTGGCTGGCAGACTTAAAAAGCAGGATTTTCTGTTTGCAGAGTGACATGAACACATGTTTGCACATGCTATTTTGTTTGAGACAAGGTGAAGATCACACTGCATGAAAACACTATGCTGGTATCACTCAGAACCTTCCTGAGGTGTGACACATCAACAGAGACCCAGCACCACTTTGACTGGGTTTTACGCGTGGCTCATGGCTCTAGGAGTAATTTCAGCCTCTCTTCTCTCCAGTTGTGTGGGATGCTGGTCGGGATCCTGGTTGGAGGCACGGACTATTTCCACCTCGCTGCCCTCCACTTGGTGATGTTTGCTTCCGTCCTGTTCTGGATTTTGACCATGTGCCTGTTTGTGGTTTATCTTACAGGGGTCCACAACAGGATGACGGCCATCTAATGTTGCACCCTGGTAACACACACAGACACACACACACACACACACACACACGCACGCACGCACGCACGCACGCACGCACGCACGCACGCACACACACACACACACACACGCACGCACGCACGCACGCACGCACGCACGCACGCACGCACACACACACACACACACACACACACACACACACACACACCACAGCTGGTTCTTCTAGTGACTTTGGGTTGTGAAAGCATGCAGCTGCACTCCTGACACAAAAAGGTCACATGTGATAATTACGACATTTAAAGTCAGAATGAGGAGTTTGTAACTGAGATAAGATGTGGTTAGAAATAACAACTGTTTTTGTGGAAGGAATGGGCTTCAATATAAAGTTTCACATTATTTATTTACCCTTTTGTGTAACGGTGACGTTTGTGCTATTGTCTCTTACTCTCTGTGTTTTAACTGCAGCGCCGCGGCCTTGTATCTGCTGACAGCCGTGATAAACGCTCTGACCATCAACTGGGCCGTTAGAGGGCGCCACAGCTACAACTGCTGGGCAGCATCAGCTGTAAGCACACCTCCATCAGCCAGAAATCATCATGAAACAAATGCATGAATAAATCTGAGAAGGATATTTGTGTAAAGGCTTCTGTATTGCTCAGTGATCTCCAGACAATGCCGGATGTGACATTTTGGTCCCAACAATCACACTGAAGAATGTTAAATCTGATTAAAAGAGACAATGATAAAAAAAACAAAGCAGCTAAAATAAAGTTGTTCTTCATTTCCCCACAACTATTTGAATGTTTTATGATATTAATGAGCAAAGTAGCTTTTGCCAGTATTTCTTTTAACTTTATTGAGTTAATCTGAAAAGCACATTGTTGATGTTTCACGACCAAAAACTGATCCCAACACACCCCTTGATTCTTACTAGCTAATGTGATTTTTGTCACTTTATTTTTTTAAATAAAATTCTTAAAACAATTTAAAACCCAGTCATTGGTGTAGACAGAATTCTAAATAAAAAAACACTGAAATCTAAATAAAAAGCACTGAATTCTAAATAAAAAGCACTGAATTCTAAATAAAAAAATACACCAAATTCTAAATTTAAAAAACCCTGGATTCTCCGTAAAAAACAATGAATTCTAAATAAAAAACACTGAATTCTAAAAAAAACACTGAATTCTAAATAAGAAAACAGAGAATTCTAAATAAAAAACACTGAATTCTAAATAAGAAAACACAGAATTCTCAATAAAAAACACTGAATTCTAAATAAAAAACACTGAATACTAAATAAAAACACTGAATTGTAAATAAAAAACACCAAATTCTAAATAAAAACACTGATTTCTGAATAAAAAACACTGAATTCTAAATAAAAAACACTGAATTCTGAATAAAAAGCACCAAATTCTTAATAAAAAGCACCGAATTCTAAATAAAAAAACACAATTCTAAAAAAAGCACCAAATTCTAAATAAAAAACACCGAATTCTAAAAAAAAATCACTGAATTCTAAATAAAAAACACTGAATTCTAAATAAAAAAAACACAATTCTAAAAAAAGCACCAAATACATCAAGTCATGATGTCATTATGTCATATCATGTCATGATGTCATATCATGATATGATATGGGCCAATAACAGCACTCTATGGGTTTGGTGGGCCAATCACAGAGCTCTGTCTGGTGGGCCAATCACAGAGCTCTATCTGGTGGGCCAATCACAGCGCTCTATTGGTTTGGTGGGCCAATCACCGGGCTTTATCTGGTGGGCCAATCACATTGCTCTATCAGTTTGGTGGGCCAATCACAGAGCTCTGTCTGGGGGTCCAATCACAGAGCTCTATCTGGTGGGCCAATCACAGCGCTCTCTCGGTTTGCTGGGCCAATCACAGAGCTCTGTCTGGAGGGCCAATCACAGAGCTCTATCTGGTGGGCCAATCACAGCACTCTATTGGTTTGGTGGGCCAATCACAGGGCTCTATCTGGTGGGCCAATCACAGCGCTCTATTGGTTTGGTGGGCCAATCACAGGGCTGTATCTGGTGGGCCAATCACATTGCTCTATCGGTTTGGTGGGCCAATCACAGAGCTCTGTCTGGTGGGTCATATCATGTCATGATGTCATGTCATAATGTCAAGATGTCATGTCATGACATGTTGTCATGATGTCATGTTATGTCATGATGACATCAGTGTTTTTCAGTTAGAATTCAGTGTTTTTATTTAGAATTCAGTGTTTTTATATAGATTTTGGTGATTTTTATTTAGAATTCAGTGTTTTCTATTTAGAATTCAGTGTTTTTATATAGAATTCAGTGTTTTTTATTTAGTACTCAGTGTTTTTTATTTAGAATTCAGTGTTTTTATATAGATTTTGGTGTTTTTTATTTAGAATTCAGTGTTTTTTATTTAGAATTCAGTGTTTTATATTTAGAATTCAGTGTTTTTATATAGAATTCAGTGTTTTTTATTTAGTATTCAGTGTTTTCTATTTAGAATTCAGTGTTTTTATATAGAATTCAGTGTTTTTTATTTAGTATTCAGTGTTTTTTATTTAGAATTCAGTGTTTTTATATAGATTTTGGTGTTTTTTATTTAGAACTCAGTGTTTTTTATTTAGAATTCAGTGTTTTCTATTTAGAATTCAGTGTTTTTATATAGAATTCAGTGTTTTTTATTTAGTATTCAGTGTTTTTTATTTAGAATTCAGTGTTTTTATATAGATTTTGGAGTTTTTTATTTAGAATTCAGTGTTTTTTATTTAGATTTCAGTGTTTTCTATTTAGAATTCAGTGTTTTTATATGGAATTCAGTGTTTTTTATTTAGTATTCAGTGTTTTTTATTTAGAATTTGGTGTTTCTTATTTAGGGGTCCACAACAGGATGACGGCCATCTCCTGGAGCACCCTGGTAACACACACACACACACACACACACACGCGCACACGCACACGCACACGCACACGCACACACACACACACACACACACACACACACACACACACACACACACACACACACACCACAGCTGGTTCTTTTAGTGACTTTGGGTTGTGAAAGCATGCAGCTGCACTCCTGACACAAAAAGGTCACATGTGATAATTACGACATTTAAAGTCAGAATGAGGAGTTTGTAACTGAGATAAGACGTGGTTAGAAATAACAACTGTTTTTGTGGAAGGAATGGGCTTCCATATAAAGTTTCACATTATTTATTTGCCCTTTTGTGTAATGGTGACGTTTGTGCTTTTGTCTCTTAGTCTCTGTGTTTTAACTGCAGCGCCGCGGCCTTGTATCTGCTGACAGCCGTGATAAACGCTCTGACCATCAACTGGGCCGTTAGAGGGCGCCACAGCTGCAACTGCTGGGCAGCATCAGCTGTAAGCACACCTCCATCAGCCAGAAATCATCATGAAACAAATGCATGAATAAATCTGAGAAGGATATTTGTGTAAAGGCTTCTGTATTGCTCAGTGATCTCCAGACAACGCCGGATGTGACTTTTTGGCCCCAACAATCACACTGAAGAATGTTAAATCTGATTAAAAGAGACAATGATGAAAAAACAAAGCAGGTAAAATATAGTTGTTCTTCATTTCCCCACAACTATTTGAATGTTTTATGATATTAATGAGCAAAGTAGCTTTTGCCAGTATTTCTTTTAACTTTAGTGAGTTAATCTGAAAAGCACATTGTTGATGTTTCATGACCAAAAACTGATCCCAACATCAGGAACCCCTTGATTCTTACTAGCTAATGTGATTTTTGTCACTTAATTTTTTTAAATAAAATTCTTAAAACAATTTAAAACCCAGTCATTGGTGTAGACAGAATTCTAAATAAAAAAGCACTGAATTCTAAATAAAAAATACACCAAATTCTAAATTTAAAAAACCCTGAATTCTCCGTAAAAAACAATGAATTCTAAATAAAAAACACTGAATTCTAAAAAAAACACTGAATTCTAAATAACAAAACACAGAATTCTAAATAAAAAACACTGAATTCTAAATAAAAAACACTGAATACTATACAAAAACACTGAATTGTAAATAAAAAACACAAAATTCTAAATAAAAACACTGATTTCTGAATAAAAAACACTGAATTCTGAATAAAAAACACTGAATTCTGAATAAAAAGCACCAAATTCTTAATAAAAAGCACTGAATTCTAAATAAAAAAACACAATTCTAAAAAAAGCACCAAATTTTAAATAAAAAACACCAAATTCTAAAAAAAAATACACTGAATTCTAAATAAAAAACACTGAATTCTAAATAAAAACGCTGATTTCTGAATAAAAAAAAAACACAATTCTAAAAAAAGCACCAAATACATCAAGTCATGATGTCATTATGTCATATCATGTCATGATGTCATATCATGATATGATATGGGCCAATAACAGCGCTCTATTGGTTTGGTGGCCCAATCACAGAGCTCTGTCTGGTGGGCCAATCACAGAGCTCTATCTGGTGGGCCAATCACAGCGCTCTATTGGTTTGGTGGGCCAATCACAGGGCTCTATCTGGTGGGCCAATCACATTGCTCTATCAGTTTGGTGGGCCAATCACAGAGCTCTGTCTGGTGGGCCAATCACAGAGCTCTATCTGGTGGGCCAATCACAGCGCTCTCTCGGTTTGGTGGGCCAATCACAGAGCTCTGTCTGGAGGGCCAATCACAGCACTCTATTGGTTTGGTGGGCCAATCACAGGGCTCTATCTGGTGGGCCAATCACAGCGCTCTATTGGTTTGGTGGGCCAATCACAGGGCTCTATCTGGTGGGCCAATCACATTGCTCTATCGGTTTGGTGGGCCAATCACAGAGCTCCCTCTGGTGGGTCATATCATGTCATGATGTCATGTCATAATGTCAAGATGTCATGTCATGACATGTTGTCATGATGTCATGTCATGTCATGATGTCATGTCATGTCATGATGACATCAGTGTTTTTCAGTTAGAATTCAGTGTTTTTTATTTAGAATTCAGTGTTTTTATATGGATTTTGGTGTTTTTTATTTAGAATTCAGTGTTTTCTATTTAGAATTCAGTGTTTTCATATAGAATTCAGTGTTTTTTATTTAGTATTCCGTGTTTTTTATTTAGAATTCAGTGTTTTTATATAGATTTTGGTGTTTTTTATTTAGAATTCAGTGTTTTCTATTTAGAATTCAGTGTTTTTATATAGAATTCAGTGTTTTTCATTTAGTATTCAGTGTTTTTTATTTAGAATTCATTGTTTTAAATCTAGAATTCAGTGTTTTTAATTTAGAATTTGGTGTTTCTTATTTAGGGGTCCACAACAGGATGACGGCCATCTCCTGGAGCACCCTAACACACACACACACACACACACACACACACACACACACACACACACACACACACACACACACACACACACACACACACACACACACACACACACACACACACACACACACACACACACACACACACACACACACACACACACCACAGCTGGTTCTTTTAGTGACTTTGGGTTGTGAAAGCATGCAGCTGCACTCCTGACACAAAAAGGTCACATGTGATAATTATGACATTTAAAGTCAGAATGAGGAGTTTGTAACTGAGATAAGACGTGGTTAGAAATAACAACTGTTTTTGTGGAAGGAATGGGCTTCCATATAAAGTTTCACATTATTTATTTGCCCTTTTGTGTAACGGTGACGTTTGTGCTATTGTCTCTTAGTCTCTGTGTTTTAACTGCAGCGCCGCGGCCTTGTATCTGCTGACAGCCGTGATAAACGCTCTGACCGTCAACTGGGCCGTTAGAGGGCGCCACAGCTACAATTGCTGGGCAGCATCAGCTGTAAGCACACCTCCATCAGCCAGAAATCATCATGAAACAAATTCATGAATAAATCTGAGAAGGATATTTGTGTAAAGGCTTCTGTATTGCTCAGTGATCTCCAGACAACGCCAGATGTGACTTTTTGGCCCCAACAATCACACTGAAGAATGTTAAATCTGATTAAAAGAGACAATCATGAAAAAACAAAGCAGCTAAAATATAGTTGTTCTTCATTTCCCCACAACAATTGGAATGTTTTATGATATTAATGAGCAAAATAGCTTTTGCCAGTATTTCTTTTAACTTTAGTGAGTTAATCTGAAAAGCACATTGTTGATGTTTCATGACCCAAAACTGATCTCAACATCAGGAACCCCTTGATTCTTACTAGCTAATGTGATTTTTGTCACTTTATTTTTTTTTAATAAAATTCTTAAAACAATTTAAAACCCAGTCATTAGTGTAGACAGAATTCTGAATAAAAAAAACACTGATTTCTAAATAAAAAGCACCGAATTCTAAATAAAAAGCACTGAATTCTAAATAAAAAAAACACCAAATTCTAAATTAAAAAAACCCTGAATTCTCCGTAAAAAACAATGAATTCTAAATAAAAAACACTGAATTTCTAAAAAAAACCACTGAAATCTAAATAAGAAAACACAGAATTCTAAATAAAAAACACTGAATTCTAAATAAAAACACTGAATTGTAAATAAAAACACAAAATTCTAAATAAAAACACTGATTTCTGAATAAAAAACACTGAATTCTAAATAAAAACACTGAATTCTGAATAAAAAGCACCAAATTCTTAATAAAAAGCACTGAATTCTCAATAAAAAACACACAATTCTAAAAAAAGAACCAAATTCTAAATAAAAAACACCGAATTCTAAAAAAAAATCACTGAATTCTAAATAAAAAACACTGAATTCTAAACAAAAATAACACAATTCTAAAAAAAGCACCAAATACATCAAGTCATGATGTCATTATGTCATATCATGTCATGATGTCATATCATGATATGATATGGGCCAATCACAGCGCTCTATTGGTTTGGTGGGCCAATCACAGAGCTCTGTCTGGTGGGCCAATCACAGAGCTCTATCTGGTGGGCCAATCACAGCGCTCTATTGGTTTGGTGGGCCAATCACAGAGCTCTATCTGGTGGGCCAATCACAGCGCTCTCTCGGTTTGGTGGGCCAATGACAGAGCTCTGTCTGGTGGGCCAATCACAGAGCTCTATCTGATGGACCAATCACAGCACTCTATTGGTTTGGTGGGCCAATCACAGGGCTCTATCTGGTGGGCCAATCACAGCGCTCTATTGGTTTGGTGGGCCAATCACAGGGCTCTATCTGGTGGGCCAATCACATTGCTCTATCGGTTTGGTGGGCCAATCACAGAGCTCTGTCTGGTGGGTCATATCATGTCATGATGTCATGTCATAATGTCAAGATGTCATGTCATGACATGTTGTCATGATGTCATGTCATGTCATGATGACATCAGTGTTTTTCAGTTAGAATTCAGTGTTTTTTATTTAGAATTCAGTGTTTTTATATAGATTTTGTTTTTTTTTTTATTTAGAATTCGGTGTTTTTTATTTAGAATTCAGTGTTTTCTATTTAGAATTCAGTGTTTTTATATAGAATTCAGTGTTTTTTACTTAGTATTCAGTGTTTTTTATTTAGAATTCATTGTTTTAAATTTAGAATTCAGTGTTTTTAATTTAGAATTTGGTGTTTCTTATTTAGGGGTCCACAACAGGATGACGGCCATCTCCTGCTGGAGCACCCTAACACACACACACACACACACACACACACACACACACACACACACACACACACACACACACACACACACACACACACACACACACACACACACACACACACACCACAGCTGGTTCTTTTAGTGACTTTGGGTTGTGAAAGCATGCAGCTGCACTCCTGACACAAAAAGGTCACATGTGATAATTATGACATTTAAAGTCAGAATGAGGAGTTTGTAACTGAGATAAGACGTGGTTAGAAATAACAACTGTTTTTGTGGAAGGAATGGGCTTCCATATAAAGTTTCACATTATTTATTTGCCCTTTTGTGTAACGGTGACGTTTGTGCTATTGTCTCTTAGTCACTGTGTTTCAACAGCAGCGCCGCGGCCTTGTATCTGCTGACAGCCGTGATAAACGCTCTGACCATCAACTGGGCCATTAGAGGGCGCCACAGCTACAACTGCTGGGCAGCATCAGCTGTAAGCACACCTCCATCAGCCAGAAATCATTATGAAACAAATGCATGAATAAATCTGAGAAGGATATTTGTGTAAAGGCTTCTGTATTGCTCAGTGATCTCCAGACAACGCCAGATGTGACTTTTTGGCCCCAACAATCACACCGAAGAATGTTAAATCTGATTAAAAGAGACAATGATGAAAAAACAAAGCAGCTAAAATATAGTTGTTCTTCATTTCCCCACAACAATTGGAATGTTTTATGATATTAATGAGCAAAATAGCTTTTGCCAGTATTTCTTTTAACTTTTGTGAGTTAATCTGAAAAGCACATTGTTGATGTTTCATGACCCAAAACTGATCTCAACATCAGGAACCCCTTGATTCTTACTAGCTAATGTGATTTTTGTCACTTTATTATTTTTTTTAAATAAAATTCTTAAAACAATTTAAAACCCAGTCATTGGTGTAGACAGAATTCTGAATAAAAAAACACTGATTTCTAAATAAAAAGCACTGAATTCTAAATAAAAAGCACTGAATTCTAAATAAAAAATACACCAAATTCTAAATTAAAAAACCCTGAATTCTCTGTAAAAAACAATGAATTCTAAATAAAAAACACTGAATTTCTAAAAAAAAACCACTGAAATCTAAATAAGAAAACACAGAATTCTAAATAAAAATCACTGAATTCTAAATAAAAAACACTGAATTCTAAATAAACACACTGAATTGTAAATAAAAAACACAAAATTCTAAATAAAAACACTGATTTCTGAATAAAAAACAATGAATTCTAAATAAAAACACTGAATTCTGAATAAAAAGCACCAAATTCTTAATAAAAAGCACTGAATTCTCAATAAAAAACACACAATTCTAAAAAAAGCACCAAATTCTAAATAAAAAACACTGAATTCTAAATAAAAAAACACAATTCTAAAAAAAGCACCAAATACATCAAGTCATGATGTCATTATGTCATATCATGTCATGATGTCATATCATGATATGATATGGGCCAATCACAGCGCTCTATTGGTTTGGTGGGCCAATCACAGAGCTCTATCTGGTGGGCCAATCACAGCGCTCCATTGGTTTGGTGGGCAAATCACAGGGCTCTATCTGGTGGGCCAATCACATTGCTCTATCGGTTTGGTGGGCCAATCACAGAGCTCTGTCTGGTGGGCCAATCACAGAGCTCTATTTGGTGGGCCAATCACAGCGCTCTCTCGGTTTGGTGGGCCAATCACAGAGCTCTGTCTGCTGGGCCAATCACAGAGCTCTATCTGGTGGACCAATCACAGCACTCTATTGGTTTGGTGGGCCAATCACAGGGCTCTATCTGGTGGGCTAATCACAGCGCTCTATTGGTTTGGTGGGCCAATCACAGGGCTCTATCTGATGGGTCATATCATGTCATGATGTCATGTCATAATGTCAAGATGTCATGTCATGACATGTTGTCATGATGTCATGTCATGTCATGATGACATCAGTGTTTTTCAGTTGGAATTCAGTGTTTTTTATTTAGAATTCAGTGTTTTTATATAGATTTTGGTGTTTTTTATTTAGAACTCAGTGTTTTTTATTTAGAATTCAGTGTTTTCTATTTAGAATTCAGTGTTTTTATATAGAATTCAGTGTTTTTTATTTAGAATTCAGTGTTTTTATATAGATTTTGGTGTTTTTTATTTAGAATTCAGTGTTTTTTATTTAGAATTCATTGTTTTAAATTTAGAATTCAGTGTTTTTAATTTAGAATTTGGTGTTTCTTATTTAGGGGTCCACAACAGGATGACGGCCATCTCCTGGAGCACCCTGGTAACAGACACACACACACACACACACACACACACACACACACACACACACACACACACACACACACACACACACACACACACACACACACACACACACACACACACACACACACACACACCACAGCTGGTTCTTCTAGTGACTTTGGGTTGTGAAAGCATGCAGCTGCACTCCTGACACAAAAAGGTCACATGTGATAATTACGACATTTAAAGTCAGAATGAGGAGTTTGTAACTGAGATAAGACGTGGTTAGAAATAACAACTGTTTTTGTGGAAGGAATGGGCTTCCGTATTAGTTTCACATTATTTATTTGCCCTTTTGTGTAACGGTGACGTTTGTGCTATTGTCTCTTAGTCTCTGTGTTTCAACAGCAGCGCCGCGGCCTTGTATCTGCTGACAGCCGTGATAAACGCTCTGACCATCAACTGGGCCGTTAGAGGGCGCCACAGCTACAAATGCTGGGCAGCATCAGCTGTAAGCGCACCTCCATCAGCCAGAAATCATCATGAAACAAATGCATGAATAAATCTGAGAAGGATATTTGTGTAAAGGCTTCTGTATTGCTCAGTGATCTCCAGACAACGCCAGATGTGACTTTTTGGCCCCAACAATCACACTGAAGAATGTTAAATCTGATTAAAAGAGACAATGATGAAAAAAACAAAGCAGCTAAAATATAGTTGTTCTTCATTTCCCCACAACTATTTGAATGTTTTATGATATTAATGAGCAAAGTAGCTTTTGCCAGTATTTCTTTTAACTTTAGTGAGTTAATCTGAAAAGCACATTGTTGATGTTTCATGACCCAGAACTGATCTCAACATCAGGAACCCCTTGATTCTTACTAGCTAATGTGATTTTTGTCACTTTATTTTTTTAAATAAAATTCTTAAAACAATTTAAAAACCAGTCATTGGTGTAGACAGAATTCTAAATAAAAAAACACTGATTTCTAAATAAAAAGCACTGAATTCTAAATAAAAAGCACTGAATTCTAAATAAAAAATACACCAAATTCTAAATTAAAAAAACCCTGAATTCTCCATAAAAAACAATGAATTCTAAATAAAAAACACTGAATTCTAAAAAAAACCCACTGAATTCTAAATAAGAAAACACAGAATTCTAAATAAAAAACACTGAATTCTAAATAAAAACACTGAATTCTAAATAAAAACACTGAATTGTAAATAAAAAACACAAAATTCTAAATAAAAACACTGATTTCTGAATAAAAACACTGAATTCTAAATAAAAACACTGAATTCTGAATAAAAAGCACCACATTCTTAATAAAAAGCACTGAATTCTCAATAAAAAACACACAATTCTAAAAAAAGCACCAAATTCTAAATAAAAAACACCGAATTCTAAAAAAATATCACTGGATTCTAAAAAAAACCCACTGAATTCTAAATAAAAAACACTGAATTCTAAATAAAAAAAACACAATTCTAAAAAAAGCACCAAATACATCAAGTCATGATGTCATTATGTCATATCATGTCATGATGTCATATCATGATATGATATGGGCCAATCACAGCGCTCTATTGGTTTGGTGGGCCAATCACAGAGCTCTGTCTGGTGGGCCAATCACAGAGCTCTATCTGGTGGGCCAATCACAGCGCTCTATCTGGTTTGGTGGGCCAATCACAGGGCTCTATCTGGTGGGCCAATCACATTGCTCTATCGGTTTGGTGGGCCAATCACAGAGCTCTGTCTGGTGGGCCAATCACAGAGCTCTATCTGGTGGGCCAATCACAGCGCTCTCTCAGTTTGGTGGGCCAATCACAGAGCTCTGTCTGGTGGGCCAATCACAGAGCTCTATCTGGTGGACCAATCACAGCACTCTATTGGTTTGGTGGGCCAATCACAGGGCTCTATCTGGTGGGCCAATCACAGCGCTCTATTGGTTTGGTGGGCCAATCACAGGGCTCTATCTGGTGGGCCAATCACAGCGCTCTCTCGGTTTGGTGGGCCAATCACAGAGCTCTGTCTGGTGGGCCAATCACAGAGCTCTATCTGGTGGACCAATCACAGCACTCTATTGGTTTGGTGGGCCAATCACAGGGCTCTATCTGGTGGGCCAATCACAGCGCTCTATTGGTTTGGTGGGCCAATCACAGGGCTCTATCTGGTGGGCCAATCACATTGCTCTATCGGTTTGGTGGGCCAATCACAGAGCTCTGTCTGGTGGGTCATATCATGTCATGATGTCATGTCATAATGTCAAGATGTCATGTCATGACATGTTGTCATGATGTCATGTCATGTCATGATGACATCAGTGTTTTTCAGTTAGAATTCAGTGTTTTTTATTTAGAATTCAGTGTTTTTATATAGATTTTGGTGTTTTTTATTTAGAATTCAGTGTTTTCTATATAGAATTCAGTGTTTTTATATAGAATTCAGTGTTTTTTATTTAGTATTCAGTGTTTTTTATTTAGAATTCAGTGTTTTTATATAGATTTTGGTGTTTTTTATTCAGAATTCAGTGTTTTTTATTTAGAATTCAGTGTTTTCTATTTAGAATTCAGTGTTTTTATATAGAATTCAGTGTTTTTATTTAGTATTCAGTGTTTTTTATTTAGAATTCATTGTTTTAAATTTAGAATTCAGTGTTTTTAATTTAGAATTTGGTGTTTCTTATTTAGGGGTCCACAACAGGCTGACGGCCATCTCCTGGAGCACCCTGATAACACACACACACACACACACACACACACACACACACACACACACACACACACACACACACACACACACACACACACACACACACACACACACACACACACACACACCACAGCTGGTTCTTTTAGTGACTTTGGGTTGTGAAAGCATGCAGCTGCACTCCTGACACAAAAAGGTCACATGTGATAATTATGACATTTAAAGTCAGAATGAGGAGTTTGTAACTGAGATAAGACGTGGTTAGAAATAACAACTGTTTTTGTGGAAGGAATGGGCTTCCATATAAAGTTTCACATTATTTATTTGCCCTTTTGTGTAACGGTGACTGTTCTGCCTTCCAGGCATTTTAGTTCATTGTGTAAAAGTTTTATTTACGTGCTTTTATTTTGACATGGAAAACACCCGTAGAACAGGAAGTGCTGTGTATGCTTTTATTTTGACATGGAAAACACCCGTAGAACAGGAAGTGCTGTGTACGTGAGTGACCGTTTACTAGCAACGCACGCTGATGCAGAGAGATTGGTCAAAGAGGGAAAGACGTTCTAAAAAATCAGAAAACCGGCAAACCTTTGCTTAACTCTTGAAGAAGCAACGCCTGTATGTATTCATATTTGTTTTACACAGTTTATTGATACATTTGTGCTAAAGACAAGTTTGTGGAGCTAGCTAAACAAGTGGACATTTCTGGCTACTTCTTTCTACCAGCAGTTGGCGTTGTTGCACTGCGTATTAAGCTAATAATAATTCATTTAGTTGTTGTTACCTGTTAAAATATGCCATCTCCGTTTGTGGGCAATCTGTTTCATTCACAGGTGATTTTATTTAGCAGTTATAGGCTTTGAATTCTAATTTATATTTACTGTGAATTAGATATCAATGAAGAGAGAGATGACTCCATTGTTTTTCTTTTCTTTTTCAGTTGTACTCTGTATTCTAAGCGACAGCAAGTATGTGTAATAAATTTGGAGACTACAGGAACACATCTTTCGTCATTGAGTCAGAGTTTAGCTCACTGTCTAGTTGAAACTACCACTACGTCTCAGCGAGGACAGTACAGTAAAAAGGCGCTGAGTAACCTAGAGTTCAACACCAAAGGTGCCAAGCACAAGGGAGAAACGATGGAACAAGCATCAGTACGTTCAAAGATCACGAAACGCTCTCTCTCCTCTTCGTCCACCACCACAGTACAAGCGCGAGCCAATGCAGAGGCGGCAAAGGCGAGGGCTGCATTCGCAGAAAAGGAAGCAAAGCTAAAAATCGAAAAGGCTACAAGAGAAGCAGAGCTACAATTAGAGAAATCAAGACTGGATGCACAACTTGGGATATTGGAGTATCAGAGAGAAGCAGCTGCAGCCGTTGCACAAGCGGAAGCGTTGGAGGCAGCTGAAGAATTGGAGTCAGTAAAGTCAGATTCGCATGCACGTGAAATCTTACAAAGGGGCGTTGTTACACGGACTCAGGAATACGTCCAAGAACAAGCAGAGCTCAAATCACAGCAAGGTCAGGCCACCGCACATCCTCCAACACCTGGTACAGAATTACCAGAGGAGAGCCTTGTCACGTGGGATGTTCCATCACAAAAGAACTTAAAGGTACATGATGAAGACAGTAACAAGCATGACGAACTGCAAAGCAAAACATTAGTAGACATTCAAGACGAATACGTAAACAACGCTCAAACAACCATTTACTATGGACAAAACAGACTCCAACCAAAGGTAAAGCCAACTCAATACTACCACAGCCCCTCACCAAACCCAATAACAAAAACATTCACCCCACAAGCATTGGTAACTCCCACCAGTGTAACACCAGAAACAGAGCACTTGGCTCGATACTTGGCTCGTCGTGACTTAGTGAGTACCAGCCTCTACCAGTTTGATGACAAACCTGAAAGTTATCGCGCATGGCAGTCTTCATTTTACAGTGCGACTTCAGATATAGGACTCACAGCAAATGAAATGTTAGATTTACTGGTTAAGTGGCTTGGGCCGGAGTCTGGCAAACATGTCAAAAGAATTCGCTCTGTATACGTTGAAAACCCAGACACAGCTCTTCAGAAGGCCTGGACACGTCTCCAGGAATACTACGCTGCACCAGAAGTGATGGAGAAGTCACTATTTAAAAGACTTGATGAGTTCCCTAAGATATCTATCAAAGATTATGGAAAATTAAGAGACTTGGGCGATCTTCTCATGGAAATACAAGGAGCTAAGGAAGAAGGCTACCTGACAGGACTAACATACCTGGACACTGCCAGAGGCATAGGACCTATAG